GGCTATTCCCTTGCAATTACTTAGTGGATTTAGTGCATGGAAGACAGCTAGTGGACAGGCAGGCTCTGATAACCCACTGTGTTTAGAACTCGGTATCTGTGTACAAGCAGATGCAATGGCAAAAGCTGACACCGACTCTTCCCCATAGACATTTATGTCCATTAACAGGAAAGGAACATGCATCTAAGCAAGCAGCAGCAGCCAAGCAATCAGCAGAACAAATGCAAGCAGAACCAGTAGAACTGCTCACAGTAGAGTGACTGACCATGTAAAATGTTTTCTGGAAATAAGTTGAAGTCTACTTTTTAAGGGAGCAATGGAAAAAGAAAGGCTTTCTAAATCTGAGGTGTGGCACATGCAAAATTACAGAAAGAACCATTCTCTGCAAGAAGCACTGTAAACAAAAGAAACACAACACAAAAATCAGAAAGGAGTCCTTGGGTGCAAATAGGAAGTGACAGGGTTGAGACAGGGACTGGTTGGCTGAGGAGCCTTGAAGGTACAGCAAAGAAACACCGATTTGATGTGATAGGCAACAGGGAAGTTCTCTGCACCCTTACAGAGGGCAGTGTTACAGAAACAACGGTGCTTGCTCATGGCCAGCCTTGGGATGCTTAAAAAATGAAAGTAGTTAACAGTATGTGCTGTGTAATTGTAGATAGGCAATTCACAGCAAGAGTTCGTTTCTAATACCAACCAAATAAAATGTTAAAATTAACCAAAGACAGAAACTGCACTCTGAATTAGCTCCCTGTGGAATATATTTTCTGATTAACGCTTGGCTGTTAAACATCATCTGTTTATCAATTTGTCTCTCAGCTGACATAAAAACCTAATATCGATTGCTTGCAGAGAATTGTGATGTCCTAGACACATTACTCATCCAAAATTGCTATAGACATATACCAAGATGGAAACCACAAGCCCTCCTTCTTGCCGCAGAATGGATTTAGTTCATTGTGATGGGTCTAAAAATTTATAAAAGGAAGGTTGAGGGAATAGTAAATGAGGAATAAAGAGCAAATATTATAGATATGTTTTCCAAAGGCTTAGTTATGATACAAGCATCATGAGTGTCCCACACTATTTTGTTCATTGCCCATGGCATTAAATCCTAAAAATAGATAGCCTCTACAGAATAGTATTTTTCTTTTCAATTGCTATTCCCAATACCTAATAACATCAAAGATCATCCAACGTCGATAATAAACAAAACAAAATACAACCCAATGGGCTGGGCAGCATTCAAGGTTCCTAGGACCCTTCACCTTCACTAACTGAATAATCTCCCACTTACTAAGCTCTTAATCTCCCTTCATCTCTCCAGTGGCTTTTGAGGGCTAACAATTGTTAATATTCCATTTAATTTCCAAGGATTTCCTCACCATATGTCTCCTTCAGGAGGATCACAGAGAATGGGTCACCCCTGTGGTAGGTTACAATAGAGCGTTCTGCCATGGGTCACTGACTTTACTTGAAATAGAATGAGAAAAACAATGCTGAATGAAAGAAATGAATTTTAAAAAGCCAAACTACAAGAAAGATTCACCTCAGTTTTCTGGAGATGAGAGAAACAGGCATTTTCTGGCCTAATTTATTGAAATAATTGTTCCAGATTTTTACCTCACCTAACGATATACATGCAGTTTCATGAAACTTTACACTGAAAATATCACACTGAGAGAGCTCTATTTTTGCATCTTAAAGCCACTGATCTTATAATTGTCTTATGTAAACATCCCTCCTGACTTCTTAACACCACGTGTTTCACAAATCTGTTGGCCAAATCAGCTTTTTCCTTGTACAATAGCCACAACATTCAACTTTAGTCATCATAGTAACATAAGGACTAAATTTCTCTATTTCATTCACAATTTCTCTAATTTATCTGGCTTTGGTGCTTCTTGTTGTTTTTCAGATGAACTAATTCAGACTGGAAAACACACACACACACACACACACACACACACACACACACACACACACACACCATGTATCATTGAAGACCAACACAGTTCCCTATAGAAGGCAGCTGCGTTCCTTGGAAATGATTCAGTTAGAACGAGAGCAGTTTCCAGATTTCACACATTACTTCCCCAAATTTGCTATATTTAGAACCAGCCAGCTTGGTACTAAAACACCCAGAATTCAAAGACATGTGGGTGAGCTCACATCTTCCTGCGCGGTCTTATTCTAAACCCTCCCAGGGCAACTGCTACCAAACTATTTGTTGTATTTCTACTTGTAAACACATCCTTGTGGCATTTATCAAAGTCAGGTAGAGATTTGCCAGCTTGGAACCATGTAAGATCCTTTGTGATTTTGGTTTGAATCATGTAGGTGGTGAGGTCATGAATTCATATTACATTTTGGATCAATTATGACTGTCTCTTCCCTGTTTTACAGGATTACTAAGAGACATTAAATATCCATGATGTGTGTGATATCATAGGAAGGTATCATATAATCAAGGAAACATTCTTCACTTAAACGAGCTTACGGTTCATTTATTATCAAGGTCATTTATTTATATGAAAGAACCTGCCAACTCGCAGCCCTGGTTGGGGTGTGTTTGGTTACCAAATGCCTGTAAGTGCATATTAAATTGCATTTCTCAGTCACGGTGGCCGTGAGCCTGAGTCATGCATAGCATGGCATCTATAAAACCCCATCACGGTACACACATCCAGGTGCCTGTCACCGCTGCCAGGCGTGAGAGGACATCCCTTTTAAGGAGTGTCCTCTCTGCCCACGTGGCCTGCCATTTCATCTGATAGGTTATCATCTGTTCCTCCTGACGCTGTTCTCTATGGTAAATGGGTTAAAACTACAAGACTCTGAAAAGCAGTCGCACTGCCCACTGCATTTTTAACTGACTGAATATTTGTCTCAGTGACTCTTCATTAATATTGTTTTGTGAAACCATGTTTTAAGAGGTAAATATTCATCTACATTTTTTAGTGTTTTTTTTTTTAAATATATTTGTATTGGTTTCAGAAAGGAAAGAAGAGAGAGAGATAGAAACATCAATGATGAAAGAGAATCATTGATGGACTGCTCCCTGCACACCCCCTACCAATCCAGCCTGCTACCCTGGCATTGCCCTGACCAGGAATTGAACCATGACCTCCTGGTTCATAGGTCAACACTCAAACACTGAGCCATACCAGTTGAGCTAGTCATCTACAATTTGTATTCAATACATAAAATCATTGGATATTAAGGTATTTGACATTAAAAGAGTACACACATGTTACAGCAAGAAGCTATAGGTTTTGGGGGTTAAGAGCATTGCCTCTGGAGTTGAACTGCCAAGGTTAGAATCCCAGCCCCGCCTGTTACCATGAATCTGCGCAAGCTACCGGAGTCACTGGGAAGATTTACTAGTAAAGAATAAAATATATTACGTGGCATATAATAATTCCTCAATAAACATTAGCTGTTATCCATAATCAGCTTGGTCTGATATCAATTTCAAATTGGTATAATAAAGTTTGAGAACCAAACAATTACTGCATTTCAGAAAGAATGTACTATCTAGACACAGATGAATCCAATCTCTCAAAAGTGCTTCAGTGGATTTTAAATATAACCCATATCCATATTTTAGGAACCATCCGTTCTCAGCCTTTTCAGCAATGTCTCACGCAGTGTGCATGATCACATGTCATTTCCTGAAATCCTAGGAACTGAAACGCCATTGACAAGCACACACAGAACATGGCTGTGGCCCCAAAGAAAGCAGAGCTAGTGCTCACAGAAGTTCCATTTTCAGACTCATTTAAACCTAAATTCCAAAACACAATTCATCCTAAAAATGCTAAAATTAATTGCTGCTATGAGTAAAGTGACAATCCATAGCAAGTCTATTGTTTCCTTGAGTGCAGACTTAGACACTCTCAAAGCATTTTCAATCTTCAGTAAAACTCAGGTGATAATTTACAAAGGTAGGCTTAGAAGGAAAAGAAAGTTAAGATGTTTAATAAACAGACTCTGGAAGTAGGGACATGAACTCCTTTGTGTGGGATGGAACAATTCACTCAGATCTTAGAAACTCCCTGCTGAGCCCTCTTTGGTCCATAGACTGCCTGGGAACAAAGTGGCCCCTAGTCAGCAAAATACTGGCCAAATTGACTGCACTTACCCACTGTGTTATTTGAGTTTTTTATCTATTAATTTTCCTCCTGGGTATGCTGTCTTTCAGTATTATGAAATGAACTAATAGGGAGAAACTAGCATAAATAATTACATGCAAAGCAAAACAAAGAGCAGGGGTCCTCAAACTACGGCCCGCGAATATAAATATTGTATTTGTTCCAGTTCTGTTTTTTTACTTCAAAATAAGATATGTGCAGTGTGCATAGGAATTTGTTCATAGTTTTTTTTAAACTATAGTCTGGCCCTCCAACGGTCTGAGGGACAGTGAACTGGCCTCGTTTAAAAAGTTTGAGGACCCCTGACAAAGAGCAACATTAAAATACTGAAATCACTCTTTACATGTGTAATTTGGAAACACCCCCAAAATCTGTTCTTCAAACACAAATTCTCTGAAATTTCAATATTAGAGGAACCATATACCAGATTATCTCATAGAGCTAATGATAAAACTAGATTAGCAAATAGACCCTCCACATCTTTGTCAAATATTGTCCTTGATGTATTCATATCAGATAAAAAAAAAAAAAAGAGCCATTCATGAGAAAGGAAGGGTTGCATTGGTTTGAATAAAAATTGTTTTGCTTAAAGTGCAATTGTTAGGAAAAAACTAAATTGATATAAAAACAATAGTTTTAAAATCACGAATTTCTTTTCAGTTCATTCAAATCTAATATTTGACCATATCTTTTGAAGATACACATATATGACTTACGTACCAAAAAATAAAAATTTTCTCCTTGAATTTCATAAACCTCATATATAGACCAGTTGTACATTTTAAAACAGCCTTCATTAACAATATGGTCATACAGTGACTTTAAAAAGTAAAATAGATGTCTTACCTCTTCCCACTGATGTATGTATCTAATTAATCTTGAAAGTCGTAATAAACGCAAGAGACTGAGAATTTTTGTAAACCTCACGATGCGAAGTGCCCTGGCCGTCTTGTAAACTTCTGAATCCATTCCCTTTTCTACAATGAGAAAGATATAATCCACTGGGATTGATGAGATGAAGTCCACCACAAACCAGCTTTTTAAGTAATTCATCTTGATCACTTTAGGGTCCAGGATAATTTCCGAGCTGTCTTCATTGACAGTCCCAGTCCTAAAATTCATAATCAGGTCCAAGAGGAAAACTGTATCTGAGGCCACGTTGAAAATAATCCACGGTGTTGTTGTTTGTTCTGTGAAGAACGTGATTCCAACGGGTATGATGACCAGATTGCCAACCATCATTATAAGCATTATTAAATCCCAATAAAACCTACAACGAATAAAACAATCAGGTTTTAAGATGCAGGCAGCAACCAGACCATCCCACCCCCAAAAAAGTTATTACTGATTTGTGGTTAATAAATGAGTGAGAGAACAAAGTGTTGGCTTTAGAAATAAGGTAACTAACTCCTTCCATGGCGACAAATTTAAATCTAAGTAAAATTAACATATTCCGAAAGTAAGGTATTGTGATTAAAGAATTTCAAAAATTATTTGATATCAAGTGTTATAGAAATAAATTAAAAAACACCCATTACCCCATTTATCTGGTAAACACCCAAAAAAACACCCTCCCTATAAACCAGGGAGAAATATAAAACCAGAAGACCCAACTTAAAAAATGCTTTTGGTAAGATTCTTTGAAGGTGTTTTGAAGTATGTTATATACCAAATTACCAATCATAGATTAGAATAAACAAGGTGTGCTAAAAATACCAGTACTGCAAATTTATCCCTAGGAGATTAGGTCAAATAAAATTCTAGAATCGTCCCTAGCTTCACAGTAGTCCAAATATGTATGCTTTATTCTTCTTTAGTTTGAAATAGGAAAACTAACATTTTTCTGAGGCTAAAAATAATTGAAGAGACTCTACTCTAGATTTAAAACTAGAATCTATGTTTACTAACTATCTTTTGAAATATTCTTATCTCACCTTTCATTAAAATTGGGAGAAAACCAGGAACTTTCAGGTTATTCCTGGTTAATCTATTGTAACTAAATTCTTCAGAGATGATTATGTAATTTTCGTTTGTGTTCTTGCAAAGAATATTGACATTATAAATAGACTATTTATACTTGTGACAGTATATACTTATAACAATGAAGAAACAAATGTACTGATAAATCTCTTTAATAATGAAAAGTCTGAAAAGACATGAGTCACTTTGTCCTGGTCATATGTGTCCTCTTTTGGAAGTTTAGTTGCATAAAAGGTATAGAAATTTCTTTTTACCGAGATATTTTTATTTAACATTAATTCTCCCACTTAGATTACTTGAGCCACTTTTGATAAGTCAGGTATTTGCATAAATCCATCAAGTTTCTACCATCCCTAATTATAAATGGCTCTTGGAATAAAAGTAGTAATATAAGAAAGAACTATAAAAAGCACTCTCTCCCCTTATCTCCACATGCCCCCCAAGATCAGGTCAAGGGTAAATGTTTGTCATTTTAAAGATTTTTACCAGTCTTTCCATTAAAACGTATCTATACATTTAGGGACAAGCATACAAATAGCCATGTCAATCATGCATTATACACTGCCATTTTCAATGCAATCTTCTCTTTCTTTTTCCTTTCCCAGTGGAAATATGCAAAATGTGCCCCTTAATATACTAAGGGCAAACGAGAGGTAGTGTAATAGCCATTTCACAAGGAAGCGATGTCACTGAGCTCTAGTGTGAAATTGAGTGTGCACTGAGGATTACCACCCTGTGGCTACTCTCAGTCTCTTCTGTGGGCTCCCCTGTGTGTCAGGCATAGTGGGCCTTTTACCTTCTACTCCACACAGACTCTTCGGGCAATCCCATACACCCATCCATGTCTTCTATGGTTCACCTGTAACTGATGACTCCAGAAGCTTTATCTCTATCCACTGCTGCCTTTAAGCCGCATGACCAGCAGCCTATTGAACCTACCCCCTTGCCTATCTCGCACTCTGGTTAAACAGCATCCCCAGGCCCCGATTCAACACCTCACCTCCCACATATACTCCTCATGCCCCCTTCTGTCAAGGAAAAGAACAACTCTATACCTGATTTACAAGTCAGAAAGCTTAGAGCCATCCTAGATAATTCCCGGACCTGAATCTGCTCAATCTCATGCTCAGTTACTGTGGCTGTTTGGTTTTAATACCTAAACATAAGGTGGATTCATCCATTTGCCCCTTATCATTCCCACTGCAACTGCCAGAAATTCTTACCAGCGTTCAAATTTGAAGACAAGTTACTTAAATTCTCTAACTAAATTGTCTCTTCTGTAAAATGAAGATTATTATAGAACCAAATGTGTAGAGATTTATAAAAAAAATAAAATAACATATACAAATTACAGATCCTAGCATATAACAAACTGTAGACAAAATGCTGGTGGCCTACTTACTATTAGTTTACCTTTCCTTTCCAAAATAATTCAGTTGTTATGAGGAGTAACCAGGAGCCCATTGAAAAATACTCCCTTTTATATGCATGTTTGTATTTTTGTCATTAAGATAGAAGCTATTTTGAAGGAAAAATAATATTCTATCCATCTTAGTCAATAGAGGTGAAAAGGATAAAGTGCCACCCAATGTTTATAATTGCAATAATGTTTATCACACCATAGCTTTTTATGACCAGGATTTAATATGGTCTGAAGCCATTAGTTATATTGACCTCATCATGAAGGTCCATTGATCCTTATCATTTCCTCTTAAAGTATCAGTGACTCTATTTCACAGATATAAACACAGGTCTCGAAATAGACTTTGCATAATATAACTCTTCAGTTAACATTCATTCATTCTCTGCTAGCCAAGAAAAATACAGTTAACACCCACTCAGAAGTGTGGTATAACTTCTGTTTTTGAAACAATGCATATGTCCCTGAAAACTGACCTCATGAGATCCTCTTGCCTACCTGCCCACAGGTTTCTCTTCTTGGCTCTTAGCTCTAAAAATGTCCCTTTGGACACTCAGGCTCTCCCTTTTCCTCATCTCTCAATTTCTATGTCTTACATGTTTTATTCCAGAATTGTCTTTCCTATATAGTCCCTCTTCCCATCCCCACTGTTAATATTTCAAGAGTCTCCTGTCTATGGCATCTGATCCATTCTATTCACTGTTCCAGAGCAACCTATCTAACAAGTAACTTGCCAGCTCAAAAGCCATCAATGACTCTCAATTAAATAGAAGCAAGTTGCCCTGGTTTTCAAGGAAATAAAGACTCCTACTCCCTTCCCAGACTCTGCTTTAACACTTTATGCGAAGTACCTCATATGTCAAGCAAGAAAGTCCCCGCCATGTGCACCTGGGTCCATGAACAGGAGATAGAGAACCTTCCATTCTGTCTATCATTTCTCTTATTAGCATCACCTCTCCTTCAGGTCCCATTCTGGTGAGAGTTTCCTAAGTTTTTGTTTGTTTTCACAAACTCCAGAGCAACATATATTTTCAGTATGCTTCTTATATTATTACTTCTTTGGGTACTATTTTTGTTTCTTCCGTCATCACTGGATTTAAATTCATTAAAGTTCAAAATTGTATCTTGTCTTCTATTTAATTTCTGTAATAATATGGACAGTATCTAGACTAGCCAATGCTAAGTAGATAAATTAATTGAATTTTTAGTAGAAAGCTACACTTCAGTGGGGATAAAGAAATGCTTTTTAACAAGACAAAGAGCCTTTAATGCAGTAAATAATTTCTTAATTTATCTTTTATATAACACTGAATTTTTATTCATTGAGAGTTTTTATGACATAGACTACATTAAAATAAATTAAATAAGAAAGCAGATTAAGAACATGTTCTTAGATTAGACAGCCTGAAAACAAAACAGTTTGGGATTTGACAGTTGGTTTGATATGTTACAAAACCCCTCTCCTTTTCATGCTGCTCTATAGAGACAGGATTTATTTGTAAAAGATCTTAGTTGGATTTTGAAGGCAGACTAGAGTTCAAATTCTAGTTCTACTAGCTGCCGGTTTTGGACAAGAAAGGTAACGGCAGTGAACTTCAATTTTTTTCTACTACTTTCTTTGTAGGAGGACTGCAAGCAATGATGTATGTAAAGTATAGAACCTGTTAGAAAGTTTCTTGATAATTACAGTAAAGTAATAACTAAGTAATCATTTTTACCTTCTACTGAAAGGAGATACACAAAATAAAATATTACAATTATAATTAATATACCATTGATGCCGAAACCGGTTTGGCTCAGTGGATAGAGCGTCGGCCTGGGGACTGAAAGGTCCTAGGTTCGATTCCAGTCAAGGGCATGTACCTGGGTTGCGGGCACATCCCCAGTGGGAGATGTGCAAGAGGCAGCTGATCGATGTTTCTCTCTCATCGATGTTTCTAACTCTCTCTCTCCCTTCCTCTCTGTGAAAAATCAATAAAATATATTAAAAAAAAAATATATATATATATACCATTGATAACTATGATTTTAATTACTAATAAAGTAATGTTGATAGACAAATTATTCTTATGTTCAAAATCTATTTCCCCCCTCTAAGATTTTAGAAGGGAAAAAGTGGCATTATAAAGATTAGTTTCCTGATATTAAACTGTGGAGAATTCAAATTTACTCATGCTTCCTTCTTTCTACCTACTTGTATCCCTGGTAAATAAAGACAACCCCCCATTCTGTAATAACAAGAACTCCTCACTGTCCCTGAGGTTCCATGCCCTCTGATGACACCTGCTCCAGGTGAAAATACATGATGTCAGACATTTCTAATCCAAAGCCTTAAAGGGATTTAAACAATCTCCATATCCCGCTACTGGGATTTAAATTTTTCTCTAAATATTTAGTGGAAGGTTCTATTCTCCCCTCTGTCTGATGAAATAAATATTTGTCATTCAGTAAACTTGTGGCTAAACCCCTGAAATGTAGCAGATTTATATGTGGCAATTATTTTAGCTATGATTGAAAGCAAATGGAGAGTTAAACCTGTCCCATTACTAACACTTAAGACTCCCTCTGAAAAATTACATTTTTAGCTATCAAACACAAATTGGGCATATGTTTGGTAAGCTACTTATTTGTCAATATAAAGGAGTAAGCGTCTAACTGCCTTTACTTTTTTAAACACACAGTCCTTGTAACTAAGTTTTAAATTTTATTTAAAATATTATTTAGCCGAAACCGGTTTGGCTCAGTGGATGGAGCGTCGGCCTGCGGACTGAGGGGTCCCGGGTTCGATTCCGGTCAAGGGCATGTACCTGGGTTGTGGGCACTTCCCCAGTGGGGGATGTGCAGGAAGCAGCTGATCGATGTTTCTCTCT